AACATATTACAGTGAAGTCCAAACGCCTGAGAAAACATTAAAAATCTGAGGTTTATATGTATATATATAAAAAAAATTTAATTGGACCACAAATTGTTAGACTACTACTGAAATACTCCTTGTATTTAGAATTGAAATGTATGCTCAAAAGTTATTTGAAATTATTTCAATTTCATTTTTTTATATTAAATTGAAATAATATATTTATTTTCTATTTGAATATATTTTATAATGTAATTTATTCCTGTGATGGCAAAGCTGAATTTCCAGCAGCCATTAGTCCAGTGTTCAGTGTCACATGATCTTTTAGAAATCATTTTAATATGATGATTTGGTGCTAAAAAAAAGTATTTTGCCACAATATAATGTCTTTACTTCCACTTTTGATCACTTAATGCATCCATGCTGAATATAAGTATTACTTTTTTTTTTTTTAATTGCCCCAAACTTTTGAATGGTACTGTGTTTAAAGTACTATGATAATAATGTTTTTTTTCTTTCATGGTGCCATGACAAACTTATACAAATATTAGAATATGCCAACTGCAAATATCAGAAGATATGCCTGCATGTGTTTGTGTGTGTGTTTGGACTTCACAGATTGTCTTTCTGATTTCCACCCTTTCATATTGAACTCCTGGCTCTTAGCTACTCGTACATCACTACGCATTGAGAAACCTCCAAAGGATGCACTGTCACTCACTCACCTGCTGCCAGCTGCATCCACCCACAGATCTTATACACAGTGGCTGTACTGCAGAAGAAGAAGAAGGCGAAGGAGCCAATGCAGGAGAGGACCAACACCATGGACATCCCAATGAAGAAGGACGCAGCTTTGAAGGCGCTAGACGGGATGGAGCTAAACTCTGTGAAGCTCCCCTGGCACGTCAGGTCCCGGGAAATTCCACTACCTATGCAGTAGTGAAAGAGGCCGAAGTAGCCGGCCTGTGGCGTGTCCATGCCATCCCCGATCCAGTAGGGCTGAACGAAACATACCACGTTGACGATGGCGAAGAGGATGGTGAAGATGGCCCACAGGACCCCGATGGCACGAGAGTTCCTGACATAGTTGGTCTGGTAGATCTTGGCTGCTTCCGTGGCTGGGAGCATCGCTGCAGGTGTCCCAGGGATCATAGATGGATTCAGTACTTTATGGATTCAAATAGGACTCAGGTCCCCAATGGATTCAACCTTGACTAGGTTCACGCTGTATTTAGTCTGGATTCTGTTCTTAGGCGCTCTCTGGATTCAACCTGGATAATTGAATTCAGATCCTATCTGGACTGAATCTTGATATAGGTTCAGTTTGGACTCAGATCCAGGGTGGATTCGAACTGCACTCAGTCCTATCTGGATTAAGCTCCTATCTGAACTGAGTCTAAATTCTGGTCCGATCTGGACTGAATCTAGATTTAGGTTCTATCTGGATCCAGTTTAGATTCAGGCCCTGTCTGGATTCAGTCCAGATTTAGGTCCTTTTTTGGATACAGATCCTATTTGGATTGATACTGGATTCTGGTTAGCTCTGGATGAAATCTAGATTTAGGTTGTATCTAGATTCAATTTGTATTTAGATACGCTGTGAGTTCGCAATGCACTCCGATTCTTTATGGATTCAGTCAGAATTCATATCCTATCTGGATGGAGTCTGGATTCAGGTCCTATCTGGATTCAGTCTAGATTTAGGTCCTTAATGAATTCAGTCTGGATTCAGATCCTATCCAGATTGAGACAGGATTCAGGTCCTGTCTGGAATCAGATCGTGTCTGGGTTGAATTTAATGTTATGAATTCAGTCCACTCTGCATTTAGTTTCGACTTTGGTCCTCTGTGGATTCAATCTGGACTCAGTCCTCTCTGGATGTTGCCTGGGGTGCCACCTAAACTCAAGTACAGACAGAACAGCTCACAGATGTCGCGACAGACTAAGCAGTTTTAGTTCCAGATGTCACAGTGATTCGTTCAGCGTGGATGTGGCAGTCTGTCCGTGCCTCCAATGATGCTCTCTTCTCATTCAGCCTCTATGCATCCGCATCATTCAGCCAAGCGATCTCATTAAAGCTGAATCATCACACTTGGGACAGCAAAAATAATGACTAAACTCAAATGAAGACACAGCTCTTATGAAGAAGACCCATTCCAGTGCAGCGGAGATAACACTCCCAACGGAAATGTCAGTATGAATACTTAATGATGACCCGAATAAATTAATAATACTTAGATGGTTTGCCAATACCCAAACCTTAAGAGATTAAAGACATTTATCTATTAATATATATACATACATATATATATATATAAACAATAATCTACCTTACACAGTCCAAAGGGTTGTTTCCATGAGGCTATTACAAGATATAAAGGACTGTCCGTGATAAATCTTGCTGTTTTGCGTTTAACAGAAATAACGGATGTTCGGATGACGACACTTGCACTGCATCATATTTTGCGTCTCCATTCTTCTCCGATTTAACGCAAATATCGCTCTCCTCTCGGCTGCTGGCTTAACTGCGTACCGCTGCGCCATCCGATTTAATCCTGTGCGCACATCTCCGAGCAATAAAACACATTACACCTGACCACAGTGATGTCGCCTGAGTAAATAAACGCTGGGATGAGATTCATGCCGCGCGTGTTGATCGCAGTGAGACTCGCTCGCGGGGATGGAGTGCGCTCGAGCGCAGATTTCTGGCACACCCGAATATTCAGTCTGCGTCTGTCACTCCCGTCCGCATAGCAGATGAAGAGACGCCTGCGTGCCTGTAGAATAAATGAATTCCCTAAAATTATATCTAAATTCACCTGTCTCTCTTTTGACTTTCAGGCTGATGATAATACGGATTCTCGGTTTTAAACGTTTAAAAATTAAATTGAAGAGCGTTGGGATTTAAACCATCAAGAACTACAAATCCCAGACCCTTGTCCGGAAATGACGCGAACTCGTGACGACCTTCGTGAACAGCGCGGGGAAACTGAGGTGAAGTTCTCTGTTCCTCAAAAACGGAAAAATATAACCATTCATTTCTCAAGTATAGGTATATATGATGTTTTTTTTACTAGTTTCTATTGAAAAGTGGCATGTTTAACGAAGTGGTCTGTCGGTTTGAACACGTGTAAATATTATTCACAATGTGTTCTCGCAGTTTTGGTTATTAATTGCTTATGAATATGCATCAGATGTATGTCTGTGCGTCAGGTTTCTGTCCTTTTCAGCGTTTTTAGGGAAGCGTTTAAGATCAAGTTTAAAGAGATCCGTGCGTTCTGCGCCCCTTAAGTTACGTCACTAACGTTGCTGTTTTTCAAACGCAAGCACGTTTTCTATCAGCTGCTAAAACTACTACACGTAAGTTAGTTCTTTTTTTTTTACATGACACTGATACAGGTGTTTTATTATGATCAGAGAATGTCTGTAACGCTGCAGTCTCCCGGTTATCCTGAGGACACACTGCGCTCTCTGGCTGACAGACTGCCATGCAGAGAGACTCAGCTGAAGTCACTGCTGTCACTCATGGGACAGGTGAGTTAAATACTGACCCCAATCTTTTGAACGGTAGCGCATATTGTTACAAAAGATTTCTATTTTGAATAAATGCTGTTCTTTTTAACATATTATTCATCAAAGAAACCTGAAAAAAGTATCACAGGTTCCAAAAAAATATTAAGCAGCAAAACTGTTCCCAATATTGATAATAAATCAGCATTTAAGAATGATTTCTGAAGGATCATGTGACACTTAAGACTGGAGTAATGATGCTGATGAAAATTCAGTTTTGCATCACATGAATAAATTATATTTTAAATATATTAAATTATAAATGTCTGCAATTAATGTGAACTGTGGTTTCGATGTCTGTTAACAGCCAGATCAATACAGTTATCCTTCATTCTTCATCTATGGCCACAGAGCAACAGGAAAGAGTCATGTGGTGCTCTCCATCATGAAAGATCTGGAGGTAAGATCATGAAAACCGAGTATTTGGAAAGTTGCGGTTTATAAAACCTGTAAAAGTGCTCATTTATGGAATACACTACACAACCTTTGGCACAATTTACAGTTTTAAGGAGTCACTCTAGTTGCTAAAATTCCGAACCAGTCTGTTTTTTGTTTTTTTTCAGTTAGACTTGACAGATTTCTCTGAAAATTTCATAGTGAATGACTAGCTTTATTAGCTCCAGACTATGAATCTGTCCAGTCTGAGGACATCACACATGTATTAAACATATATTATTTCCATTTGTCTTGTGACTTCTAGAAACAAGGCACATGTTTCTGCATGAGTTTGTTGTGTTTGGAACAACTTGTCAGACTGGTAGTGTGTGAATCTTTAGTCGACATGTAGTGTATGATGACTAGTTTTCCTCTGTAACCATTTACAAAGTAGGCATGTGTATGCTGCCTAGTGCTTTAAAAGTCATATAGTGTTTGTTGTTTTGTGTGTGTGTGTGTGTGTGTGTGTGTTTCAGCTCCCCCATGCGTCAGTGGACTGTGTTGAGTGTGTGTCCAGTGGGCTTCTCTTTCACCAGGTGTTGTCTGCCTTTTTTGGGCCCGATGCTGCAGCATTGCTTCCCCGTTGCCCGTCTTTGTCAGATTTTGTGCGACTGTACAAACAGATGAGCTCTAATTCACCTGCCACTCAGACACGCTATATAGTGAGTTTATTTTACATATATGTATGTATGTATGTATGTATGTATGTATATACGTATATGTAGTATAATATTGATGAAATATGTTTGGAATTTTGTCAGAATGTTATGTCTGCATTTAGATATTTATTAAAGATGTGCCTTAATGTGACAATGTTATATAATGTCCCTGTAGATTCTGGACAGAGCTGAACGCATGAGAGATATGGATTTCAGCCTGCTTCCTGCTCTTCTGCGCCTACAGGAATTGGTATGCGCTCAGTTTAACTAATGTTTTACTGCATCAAGTAGAATACCTGTTCTTTATATAGTCTTATGTCTGATAAGCAAATTCTCTTTTCTTCATTCTTCTTTATCTGATCTCTGGTGGAGACTTGAGACTTTATAGAGACTATTTTGTTAATAGTCATTGTTATACATTGGAGATTAGCTATTTTTAGACTTAACTGAACATTTTTTCACCCTTTGGCAGGTAAATGATAATGTGACCGTCATCTTGCTCAGTGAAATTGTGTGGGAAAAGTTTCGGCCCAACACTGGCTGCTTTGAACCTCTGCTATTTCATTTTCCAGACTACAGTAAAGGTAAGCGTGTAAGACCATCAGAGTTAAAGATGGGTATCAAATGGCAGATTTTGATATAATTTGATATAATTGTAGCACGATCTGAACAGTGAGGTCATGTAAATATAAGTGAAGATCAAATTTGTCAATATCCCAACGTTTTATATAACAAAGATTATTCTGCTGGAAACGTCACATTTGTGATGAGATAAAAATTCTGTTGCATTTGTCAACACTTTTAGGCTTTTTAAAGCTTTTTCGACATACAGTAACGCAATCAGAGGCTCTCAACTGAGAGAGCGTTAGTACTGGGTGCAGAAATGTGTCTAAAATCCTTTTTTTTCTGGTCCCTCAGTGGAGCTTGTGCAGATTCTGTCTTGGGATCATCACCCATCTTACACACCTGAGCTCTACGCTTCCTACATAAACATCCTGCTGGGGGTCTTCTTCTCAGTATGCAGAGATCTAAGAGAGCTCAGGCACCTGGTGAGATCATACTTGCCTTTAAACTACCTGAGTCTACAGCAACAAACAGCAGTTATTTTGTGGCAGTTTTTAAGATGTAGCAGGTGAACCAGTAGAAAGTGTTTTTGCTTTTCACCAGCTTCACAAAGACACAATAAATTAGGTGGTACTAAAATGCTATATATACTAAAATACACTGTTTAAAATTTAATTTAAACAGGCTGCCCTGAATTTCTCCAAGTTCTGTGAACCCCTGGAGAAAGGAGAAGGTAAAGTATTTAAACACTACTGAGTGATACTTACATTTAATCTTTCCATTTAAAGGCTTAGTATACCCAGAAATGTACATTTTATAATCTGTTCACCCTCATGTCATCTGAAATCTGTATTCTTATTATGTTGAACAAATTGATCCTCTGCAGTGAATGGGTGCCATCAGAATGAGAGACCAAACAGCTGATAAAAGCATCACAATAAT